ACGTATTTAAAATTTAATTAATTGAAATTATTGCTGAATGCTATTAGGTTTAATACTAAAATGAGAGCGAAAAAAAATTTCATGACTTCTTGAGGTTCTCTCGCAAAAATTTTAAACAGAATATCTTTTTTTTGTCATTTTTTGTTTAATGTAATTAGCTAAAATTTTTATAAATACACAAAGTTTGGAAAAGAGAAATTTTCAGCAATTGATAATCATGCTTTATATACATTCTCAATTTCTCTTCATTGATTAACTTCCAAGGAAATCTTATTATCTCCTTTTTTTTTGCTTTTATTTTATCAACAAATTTAAATTGTTATTGTCTCATTCTTTTGCACTTCTGTTTCATTTAAAATTATTAAACAACATTCTTAGCAAATATTTATTTTTTCACGCAATTTCTTTATTCATTTATTTTTATTGCTATTTGATTGGCTGCTTGCTAAATAATTTTTTTTTTTGATTTTGCATTTGTTTAATTATGTATAGATCGATAAGTAAAGAATTTTGCAAAAATTTCTCCGTTATTATTCCTTATTTGCTTCTAAAAAGGAAACAAAAAAAGCAAAATTACTCAATTAATAAAATTTGTTATTTTAATTGTTTCAAAAATAACTAAAGATTTTTTCCAAATGCTGTAACTCTAATTTTCACAAAAACAAAAAGAGAAAACGAAGCAAAAATAGTCAATTTATAGCATTAAATTTTTTAAATTAATAACAATAATTTAATTTAAAAATTTTGACGATGAGAAATGGAGGGAAAGAGAAGGCAAAAAATTCTGTATCGTTCAGAAAAGATGGATAAGAGAAAGATAGTTTGTGGTCAGGAAAAAGGTACAAAGATTCACTAATAAAGCACGTTGAGGATTTGTGCTTATAAACAAATAAAGAAAAGAATCTTTTATAAAGGTGACTTAGGTCTAACAAAAAAAGAGCCAAGTCCAAAATATTTTTATATGAAAAAATAAAGCAAACCATTAATTTATGCTTCAGTTGCTTTTTAAAATTAAAATATTTTTATTACATTTCACTTGTCTTTTCGCTTTGCATGTATTTACATATTTAATTATTCAATTTAAAACTTCAATTCTGACTAACCAATTCTTTCCTTTTTATTTTTTTTTGCATTTCTTTGTTTCTTCCGTTTGATTTGCATTTTTTTATTATTATTAAATAATATGTAGCGCTTAATTATTTATAAGTCTGAAATGAAAAACAATTTTTAATTTTTACTAGATTAAATTAATTTATCGAATATAATAAATCTCATTTTTTATGCTTTTTACATTGCAACAATTTAATTCATAAAACACTGTTAAACTTTTACTAAATTAAATCGAGATTTAATAAATATAGCAAATTTAAGTTAATTAACAAACGATAAAAAATGAAAAATTTTTTGCGTTCGGTTTCAATATTTGATTTTTAAAATGCTATTAGTCTTATTTGAATCACATTTAATTTGTTGAATAAAATAAATAGAAATGATAATATTATTATTTTAAATTTCTTTCAAAAATTCTTTTTTTTTTGATAAAATTAAGAATTTAATGTGACTGATTGAAATTTTTATAAAATCAAGGACAAATTTCCTCAGATAGAAAATAGCAAATTATAGATACTTGCATCATCAACTTCTTTTGATGACGAACATTCTGCGCCTCCTGAATTAACTTTTATTTTCAACCATACGACAACGCCCTTTTCTTACTCGGAACAACCGTCAATGAGTAATATCATAATTAATGGAACTAATGAGATGCTAACGAATATTACCATCGAACATGTGCAGCAACAAATGGATCATCCAAAGTATGTTGTTTTCATTTTATAATTTTATGAATTCAACACAAGTAATTGGTTAATTAATTTTATTTATGCATTAGTGAAATTTTTTGTTCTCACATCAATTCAAATAAAATTTGTGAACTATTTCGACATAAACTGTTGTTAAAGTTAGTTAATTTCGTCGTTATTAATTTATTTTATATACATATATATCAGTACTTGAAGATTGAAGACATATTTGAAAAAAAGTGAATTTAACTTAGGTTATTTATATTTTATGTTACAAAGAATCAATTATTTACAAATCGTAAATCTGTTTTATATTGATAAAAAATAAACTTAATTTTGTTTGAATCAGTTGAAATAATACATAGCAAAATTTTCAACATTTTTTTCACTCATTTGATTTAATTATAAACGAACGACTAATATTTAAACAAATAAAATATTTCAGAATTTCGAAATTTTATAAGAATTATGAAAAAACATAAAAATTAAAGGTGTTATAATTACACTTCAAATATACATTAGTGAAATAATTTGAAAAAAAAAATCGTAAATTCGCTAAAAATCAAGTATTTGATGGAAAAATTTTATTAATAAATGGAACCATAGTAATTCCAATAAATTAAACATAAATATTTATTTTGAAGTTTTGTATCAGTTTTTGATTAATTCCATTACAGATTTATATGCATCATAGCAATTGGAAGTGTATTTGCTTTTTTAACAACAGGTGGTAATTTAATGGTTATGGTAAGCTTCAAAATTGACAAGCAACTGCAAACAATCAGTAATTATTTCTTATTCAGTCTTGCTGTTGCTGATATTGCTATTGGTATGTCTTTTTAATTTTATTTTTAGCATAATCACTGTTTTTATTTTTCTTGACTTTTATTTTTTAATATTTATTTGAAATTTACCAAAAATTTGGAAAAAATATTTTAGTACTTATTTTAAAAAAATTTACGAAGTGTTTTTCAAGTTTGTTAAAAGTTCCGCTGTAATAATGAAAGTTTAAAGTAGTTTTCGAGCCATTTAGATTTTAATGATGTTAGGCTTGACATTTAGTAATCCTACTTTGATATTTGAATAGATCAAAGTTGAATTTATTTAATGAGCTTGCTCGTCTCTTATTTATGTCTTTGTACTATTCATATCCTTCATTATCTTTCATAATACCTAAAATTTTGCTATTTCTCCAAGCTTCTATCTTTTTCTTGGCCCATTCAATCAGTGATTTTCGTGATTTTATCTATTTTAAATATTCACTGGAAATTACAAAAATTTTTCGTTATATCTATATTATAGTGATTGATTTTTTAGTGATCATTAACTGTCTTTATTCCTTAATTATTCGAATTTTCCGAGAAAATTTTTTTTGCTTTTTTTTCACATTATTAGAGCAAAATTTTTCAAGATAAAAAAATCAAAAATATTTTTCAATAATATTTTAATGAATTAAATTTTTCAACATTTTCAATTAAAATCTTTTAGAAAATCATGGAAATAAAAAGAAAATAAAAACTGGAAAATGAAATAAAAAATAAAAATACTTTCATGACACAATTTTACTACTCATCAGAATGAATTTTAATCTAAAAATAGAAACAAAATATATGCTATACTTACTCGTCTATCTGTTTTTTTTTCTCTACTTGAAAAGCCAATTTTTTTCGCTGTGTCAATGATTTTTTTAAAAAATAAATTGAGTATAAATATTCAAATTTTATCAGTAGCAAATAAAAAAAACATCATCCGAATTGTTTACTAATTTCAAATCGATTAAATCGATTAATGATAATTTTAAATAAATTTCCTCTATTTCAATTCAAACTAAAAAAATTGAAAAAATAAAAAGTTTTATCAATATTTTACACTAATAAAGTAAATTTAACTCAAATCATATCTTTACTTTTTTTTTCTTTTTCTTTCATCATTATCAAATGCTTAGTGGTGTGTCGGTGTTGAATTCCCTAAGTGATCGTAAGCAAATGTTACGATGCATTGAATATTCTTGAATTTCAATAATTCTTCAGCCATGTCACATCATATTTTTGTTTCCAAAGATAAAAATTAATCATAAACACCCATATATTCGAAATATTCCATTCATTTTTCAATAATATTGGTGAAAAAAAGCAAAGCAAATTTCAGGCTTAATATTGATTTGATTACAATAATAACATATTATTCGGTCTATTTCAAGCTTAGCTATGCAATACATCAATTTTAGTTTTCTTTAGTAGTTTTTACTAAAAAGAAAAAAAAAAACAAAAATTTCAAAATTAACATTAATCCCAGTAATCATATTGTTTTCATATTCAGATTAGCAATGCTTCATTTTCAACGATTTTAATCAAAAAAAAAAAAGAATTTACTTTCAGGAATAGTATCGATTCCAATAATGACATATTATATGGCTGCTGATACTATTTGGGGTTTAGGCTATGTAATGTGTCAATTTTGGTTATGCCTCGATTATATGATGAGCAATGCATCCGTTCTCAATTTATTGCTAATTTCATTTGATCGATATTTCTCTGTTACAAGACCATTAAGCTATCGACCAAGGTTTATTTGTTTGTTTAATTCTGTGCAATTTTTGCTACCTAATATTAATTATGCAAATTAGGAGGATAAAAAATTCGTTCCATTATGAATTTGTTCAGATTTTAATTCCATAAAATTTTCTCTTTTTATTATTTGTTCATAATTTTGTTTTATTTAATAAGTTAATTATTCTAATTTTTCACAAATTTTTTACTATCATTTCGAAAGATTAAAATCTGAATTAAACTATCATTATTTGGTAGATAAGTCGAACAAACTGTCATTTACAGAAGGACTGCAAAGAAGGCATTCCTGATGATTGCTAGTACTTATATTGCTTCAGCCATGCTTTGGCCACCATGGATTATTAGTTGGCCCTATATTGAAGGTATATTATGAAAATGTCTTTTTTCTCCACTTATGTTGTTAATTTTTAAATTTTGTTAAAAATTTTTAATTTTCCATTTTTTAATTTTTCTTTCTCAAAAGAGATGTGTTAAAAAGAAAAATGAAAAATTTTTCGCATAAAAAAAAATTTTTTTTTTTTCAAAATTTATCACACAATTTTGTTAATTAAGAAAATAAATAATTTCTTTCGTTTTCTCTACCTTTTTTATTTATAATAATAAATTATATTGTTGATCTTTTAGCGGTAACATAATTTTCTACTTTAACAAAATTAGCATTTTTTAAATTACTTGGCAGATTTAAAATTAAAATTTGCTAATTTCAGGTCGATTTACTAATTCTAATCGTTGCGTTGTACAGTTTATTGAAACGAATCAATTTGCATCTGTTGGTACAACAATTGCGGCATTTTGGTTACCTCTTGTAATTATGATTATATTATATTCACGAGTATATTATGAAACAAAAAAACAGCAAAAAGATATGTGCCTTTTGCAGGCAGGCCAGGTAATGATAATAATGATAATAATAATGATAATAATAAATGATAAATAATAATAATAATAATACATTATGACTTGATTCGGTTTACTGTCCCATTATTTTTCATTTTACCAACTTTAAATATCTGCGTGTTTATTTTTCTCAATTTTTTAATTTTAATAATTATTTACCTCCTTTCTTTTTCTCTTCTTTCCAGTTTCCAGTTAAATTAATTAATTATCGATAACATCGAGTAGTTAGAACATATGAAATTCTCTAATTCGTAATAAAATATGGCATTCATCAAAAGACCGAATATTATTAAGTAATCTTGCAATTATGCATTAATTATTGTAGAATCAATATAAGAAAGACAAGGAAAAAACAAAATCAAACGCCTTAACAAATCTAAGCAAAAATGGAGGACGAACAATAAATTCGTTGTCAAATTATCCATCAAAGTAAATCAGTCATTTAACTAGTTTCAACCTTTGTTTTTTTTTTTATTCTCAGTTATTTTATTTTTAAACAGGTATTTTGAAATAAATTTAAGGATGATAAAAAAGCGCAATTGTTGCTTGCGGATTTGTTATGAAAAAACGACTGATAGCTCTACAGTGGATGAAAGTGTCGATGATGTTCATCAAATTGGTCCAGATGAAATATCAACAGCTAGCAGTAATTACACTCGATATTACTGTGCGCAAAATCGTTTAAAACGATCACCACCAGCAAGCCTGGATAATCAGGTTTGATTTATATTACCAACAATCATGCCCATATATATTAATATTATCAGTATTTATCAAGGTAACTGTACCGATATTTAATCATTAATTTTTCTCCAAATTACTTTTTTATTAGAACTTGATATTATATTATTGTCGTACATTATTCTAAATATGAATTACGCAATGTTTTATGGGATTTCGACAATTAAAAAAAGCTTACCAATCAATGATTGTAAACATAAAATTTTAATTTTATATTATTACTTTGCTCGGTATTCATTTTGAAATAACTAAAATATAAATAAAAATTTGGAAAAAATTATTTCTTTTTTTTTTAAAGCAAAAATATTTTAGGGAAATAATATTTTATTATCGGAAACAGTATCAATAACAGGAAATCAAATTCCCAAGGACAAATCTTCCACATACACTGTTTTAATTGAATTAAAAGATAATGAGAAAGAACAATCACGTATACGTCTTTCATCATACGATTCGAATACTTCCGAGTATATTTCAAATTTTTTTCAACTTTTTTATTTGATTATTTCTTTAAATTATTCATTAATTTGGCAATAAAATCACAATTTTTCATAATCATTTATTCATCCAAGAATATTCTCCTATTATCTATTTAAGAAAATGTTATTGAAAAGAAATCAATAATTCGCAACCTTTTAGTAATTTTTGTTTGTAAATTGCTGGAAATTTATCAACAAATACAGGAGAACTTTTCATCACTGTTTTTTGTAAAAGTAAATTAAATTAACGAAATTAATTATGTCAATTAACAAATGGAAATTTAGATTTTATTTGCTCTATAATTTTAAATTATAAACTTGATTAATATTTTATTAAGTTTGCAATTCAATTTATATTAATCATTTTCTGTTGAAGGGTATCACGACTTGTAGGAGATAAAATAGAAGAGACTCGTAGAAATGTAATTTCACAACGAGCTTCAAATGGAACAATTATGGCCAAGTAAGGAAGCTTTTTAAATTTTACATAAGTTTATTTTTAATTCAAAATAAAGAATTGTTTTTGGACAGCACTTAAACCTCTCTTTTTTTGATGTTTATTAAATATTAGAGTGAATACCAAATTATTATTTGGAAAGGTTTGTTGGTAATTGAGAAACTTACTTCAATCCTTATACCAATATTTTCTGTTCTAATTATTGCATAAATCTAAACCACTCGTATAATCAAAGATTAGAAGATATTGCTTTTGAGATCTAACTTCAAATTAAAAGAATTCGATTCAGAATTGAAATAAAAGTGATATTGAGAATTCGGAAAAGCAATAAGTCAAAAATTTAACCAAACCATTATTTCCTTTTTATTTTGATCTTACCTTTTATCAATTAATATTAATTTATGTTCTATTTAGCAGTTGATTGATCAATTATTTATTTATTGTTGCTGTTTGTTATAACTGTGAAAAAAATCATTAAATTTAATTTTTCTTTCACTTCCAAAATATTCAACAGTTTCTTTCAAATACGTAATTTTAGCAAATTATTTAATGAGCAACGAAAAAGTGAGAAGGAGAGTCGAAAAAATGAAAGAAAACAGGAAAGTAAAGCAGCAAAAATACTTTCTGCCATTTTATTAGCATTTATTATTACTTGGACACCTTACAATGGTAAATTTTTTTAATTAATTACATTATTCAATAATTATATTTATGCTGGAAAAGCGAAAAAAAATGGAGAAAACAGATTAGAGCATTATATAATTAATTCATTCCCGGAAATACATACTTTTTATCAATTATTAATCAAACTCTTCAAATTATACTAAATGCTCAAATTTTTAAATCATAAATCAAATTACGATAGAAAAAAACTTTCAAAATTCTTCACGGTTAGATTATTATTATTGTTTACAATAATATACTATTTTATATGGTTTATTGTTTTCTGAAAATGCACACTTTTTTCCCAGTTGTTGATCAAAGCCTTAAATTTATGTTGAATCATTAAATTTTAAAATAATATTAGCTAATTCCAAAATTTCGACATGTAAATTCACATTTTTTCTTATCATTTATCGTTATATGAACAACTGTTTTATTAATTTGTTGGAAATAGAAATAAAAGAATAGTATTGCACCGGAACTAATACTTGATTTCTTTATTCTATTTTTAATATCAGGTTAAATATGTCTAAATATTTTTAATTAAATTCATTTCTTCATCTATTTCATATATTACTCATACCATTGCAAAATAAAAAATGGAGTAAATCGTAAATCAAAATTGCAAGCATTTCGAATATTTTATTTTTCGTTAAATTTTGCTGCAACTTCCAAAATTCTTTTTTCAAATCATTCAATGATTTTTTTAAAAATCATTTGACGAATTTTATTTATGTATACTTGAAATTTAAAATTATTCAACAAAATATCCATCATTTGATTTTGAAATATATTAATTAGTTCTCCATGCAGTATGTGTGGAATTTTAAGGTTTTTTATTTAATTTCAAAATTTATCGGCAATTTTTTAAAATTATATATATGCATGAAATCATTATGTTTATAACTATTTCAATGCTTTTAATTAGAATAAAATGAATGAAAACGGAGTTGTTTACGCATGTACATGTAAAATCATTATACATGAAATTAATTTAATGTTTTAATTAAATGAAATAAAAGAGGAGATTATTCATGAACGAAATGATTAAGCATTAATGACTATTTAGATATGATTTCTTTTTTCAGTTATCGTCTGTTGGGAAGCATTTTACAAAGATTCGATTCCGATAGTATATTTCCATATTGCATACTTCTTATGCTACATTAATTCAACAATAAATCCATTTTGTTATGCTTTTTGTAATCCACGATTTCGTCTAACTTACATGCGAATTTTAACGGGCAATTGGAAACGGCAACATCTCACTGGCTTGGATAAAATGGCATTTTTAAATCGAAGTTAACAAATTGTTATTTATTTTCAAATAAAAGGAAAAAAGATTTGAATTTTTCTTCAAATAAAATGATATTGTATAATTTTGATTAAACGATTATTTTAGAAAATACATTATATTTTGTAGTATATGTATACCTTAATTGTTTGTACATTGTTAGAGAACGTTACATATATTTTTTATACAAGTTTATTAATTGTGAAGTAAAATTTGAATTTTTTTCTAATCATCTGACCTTCACATTAGAGTACAAATTTGGAAGGATTTTTCAATCTTGAAATTTGACAATTCATAGCATCATGTTTAGATTATTATTTATACTCAGTAACAAATTTCTTCTTTGTTTATGTTTTTTTTTTTTGAAAATTTTCTATAAATGAAACTGCTGATGTATGAAAATGTGCTTCAAATCTCAATCAAAATATCCCTTCAACAATAACAAAAAAAATGCACCATTAAGAATCGTTAAATTAATTGCACACCCATTCATTAAGTGTGTCATAATTACGTTTTTATTTTGATGACTCTTTTTTATGACAAAAAAAGAAATTATTTCAGGCAATGTACAAAAATGGCATTTTAACAAATTATCGTTCAGATTTTAATAGTACATTTGATTTAGCTTAAATTAGCTCAAATAAGATAACATGATTAAGCATGGAGATAATTATTTTAAAAAATAAATAAATGAAAATGAAATTTTGGGCAAGAACTAAAATTTCAATAAAATAATTAAAAAAAGTCCTATTTATGTTTAAAATAAGCGTAAACAGTAGTTAAATAAGTATGTAGAAATTTTCCTGTATATCAGATGAAACCAATTAGGAGTTATGGAAAGCAGAGAAAAAAAGGTGAAGTAAAAAAAGAAAGGACAGACTACGATTTTCAGAAATCATAGCCATTTTGGTCGGTTAATAGATATGGTAAAATTTCGGACCGTAACCGAAAACATTATTATCTAGCAAAGCCATAATTTATATTAATAAATACATGCAACAAAATTTTCTTGATTTTGTGAATTCAGGTGAGAAATGAAAATATCTTTAATTAACAAAAAATATTATTTTATATGATGGCAGGATCGTAATTATAGATATCGCAGATGCCTGAAGGATAATTTAAACCGATGAGATTCAAAATGTTTTTTTCATCAGCAAATTACAGCATTATCTGATTAATGACAATTATAAATTAAAATATTATAGTATTGAAATTAGCAGTTGTAATCCGATAACATAAACAATATGTTAACATTTGCTAACCGAATGTTTTAAAACTTAGATTTTTCTGACTTTCTCTTCAAATATTTCATATCACAAAGTACCATAAACTATATTTCAATAAAAAAAGCTCTCATTATAACTAATATTATCATTAATTATTACTAATTATTATTATTATTATCGTTACTTACTGTTATTACCATTTTTAAGGAATGAGTTATTTTATTTTTTACATAGTTGTAAGTTTCAGTATGTAACATTTAGGACAAAATTTTTTAACAGTGGAAAAATGATAAACTAAAAATATGATGAAATTTGTAAAGAGCTATAGTTGAAGAACATTTGAAAATTGATCAATGATGTTGAGAGACTTTGTAATGACTATGTAAACGGATGCTTAACCTAATTTTCTTTTCTTCCACCCATACATCATTGAATAATGGCCTCATCGCGAAGCGTCATTTGTTTGGTAGCTATTATTTTTACACCAATTGCCTTCTCATCTGCAACTGTGGGTTTTCTTTTTCTTTTTTTTTTTGAAAGAATTACTAAAACTTTTTCGAAAACATTTGTATTTTTCGAAATTGGAAACTAAAGCAGTGCTGACTTATAAAAGTTTAGATTTAAATTAATATTGAATTATTCAGACGCGAAACAATAAAAATTAAAGAAATAACGAACAATTTTTACAGGATAGCTATTTTTCATCATTTATTTTTTTTATTTAGCATCATAAAAGAGGACAACAAACGGAAAAAAAGAAACATAATGTATGCTTTCTGAAAATGATACATGCGCCAGGTATGAATCCGTTGGTTCGAACAGACAAAAACGGGAAAACGTGTCGGATTAATTTAACTATTCCGGTTTGTCGAGGATTTTGCCCTACCTATGAGGTTTCACTTTCATGCATTTTTTATAAAATGGTATATTATAGAGTTTTGCATTTTTTTAGTTCCTTTGTATTAAATTTTGAATGCTGGAACAGTTTACCTGTTTGAAACTTATCAAGATAATTCTGGTAATATGGAGATCTATTTTGATTAGGAAAAATATTACCAGAAAAGATTCTCAATAGAAGTTTCAGTACGGAACTCATGAATTCCCTCATCGAAGTCAAAAGAGTGAAGTATGCGTTCCGGAAGGTGGTAAATTTGAAAGGATAACATTAACAGAATGCGATGATGGTGCTGATGCAACAATCCGTACCGTAACAGTATTACGTGGTGCAAAATGTGTCTGCAAAGCGTAAGTTATAAATTTTATTATATGTTAATTTTCATGATATTCAATTAAAATCTTTTTAGTTTTTTAACTTCAAAAAATAAATGTGTAAAATTAAACTGCGATTAATGCTTGATTTGTTTGCATATAATTCGAATTTGATTACTTAAGAATTATTTGTGAGTTTTTAGCGAAATCGAAAAATTAAAAAAAAATGCTATAAAATTTGTATTCACTATACAAATTTCTTAAAGAGTAGACAAATTTTATCCTACAATCAATTGTGCATTGAACATTGCTATATTTTCAAATGCATATGTATCTATGAAAATAATTTTATCCATTTATTAGATAATTAGGACTTCATGTGAAAATCTTAACATACTATGCATTAGTTTTAACAATAAATATCAGAAAGACTGAAAAAATTAACTTTTCCAAAATAAAATAAAATTAATTTTCTAAAATAAAAATTAACTTTGTAAAACATTTCGATTTGAAAATCGAATAAATAGAGATTAACCAGTTTTTTAAATGGACTCTAAAAATTAATGAAATTTAAACTACAGTCAAATTTTGATTAAAATAAGACACTAAACAATTTCACTTTTTTAATAAGTATTTAAACTTGTTCGTTTTTTAGATGTGACAAGACAGTGATGAACTGTATGAAGAATAGCTTGTTCAACTGATTTTTTAATTTAAACGTAATTTTTTTTTTTGCAAATAACTTAATTTTTCCGAATGTATCGATTTGAGAATAATTATACAAAAGGAATATTTTTTGTTTCATATACTCCCATTTATGTTTATTTTATGGAATTTTGTAAATGAAATGAAATTTTTGTTCGAATATTTAAACTGTTTTTAATTTATTCTTTGGTATAAAAAAGTGTCGAAAGATGATGCCATTTCAGAAATTGGGAATCCAAAATAAACTTCCAATTTCAAATTAGGAAAATAAGCAAGTAGTCAATTAATTTATATTAAAATCTTCCTTACTGAATTTCTTTCTTTTGCTTCATTCTTTCTGTTTATAAATGAAATCTTTTAGCTAAATACGATATTTAGGAAATATTTTATTTGTAACGATAAATCAGAATGATAACTGTAATTTTTAAACATTAAAATCATTAGTTTAAATGTCTATATTAATAATTTCTAAATCAAATTTGCTTCGTATGTTTGGATATTCTAATTGTTAAGCACTTTAGCACTAAAAAATAATTAGCATTTTAGCAAATTGTATAAGTGCAGGAGATTGAATGTGACCATAAAGGGTTTTGAAACAAAAGAAGGATGCTAAAATGAATGGCTGAGAAGAGAGCTGTAATGATTACTCCCTTCGCTTTTAGTTCCATCTCCCTCATTGGTGGTAACAATTGGGTGGTGGCACTTTTCGGCATGCGGATTGCTTCTATGTTATAGCAGTTGCTTTGTGTAATTTGCAAAGGTCATCATTGATCGAAATGGAAGATGTAAAGTGCAAAAAGTATTTTATGTCAGGTAATTGTCAAATTGTGAATCGAAAGAACGACAGTTGACATTCTGAATCATTTCTGGCATGGTATCAATTGAAATAAACGATCTCCATATCATGGATGTTAAGAATACAACGATACTTTGATTGTGTAAATATTTTTTATATTTAAAATTATTTCGATATTTTGACATCCTCAACTGAAGCAATTACGACTTTCGGGGGAAAAATTTGGAGTTTATAGCTAATATTTCTTGTCCTCTTGTCGTTTTTTTTGTCGTTTTCATTAATAAATCCGTGAAAATAGTAATAATTTCTTTGATTTAAAGTTTTAATACAGAATGAATAAAAAATATTCGAATTTCATTTTCCTGACAGTATAAAAATACACTAATTTCATATTTTTCCAAATCGAATGTTTTCTTCGAATTGATTTCTGTTATAAATAATTAATTTTTTAGAACAGGATCTGTGTTTGTCCTTTGTCTGATTAGATCCTAGATATCTTTCATATTAACGATATATCGCCTTTCATTGAACATTCATTAAATAGATCCACAATTTGTTGTTGTAAACGTTTCATTTTCTTCATTAGAAATAAATTTTGTAGCTACAATATAGATTTTCACATATCTGCAATCAAAATTTCCATTTTTTTCATATAAGTAAAGAAACAGTTCCAAAGAAATAGAGAAAATCCTGACTACAAATTTTGAATTTTATATAGCTGAATACATATGATTCTGAATTAGCATTCCACATTTTGCTTTAGGCGTGGAATGCTAATTCAGAGCCATACATTTCCAAAGCTATAACTTTTTATACATTTTCTCGTATACATTTTCAAAGCTATCATAACTTCATTTCGTTCACTTATTAAATTTAAAATACTTTTTTCGTCGTCGACCATTTGAGTGTATTTTTTTTTCCTTGATGTTGAATGTATTCAAATCAATTTTTGTTGGTTCGGGAAAGCACATTGATATTCACGATAATTATGACTGAAAAGATTTATTCGAGGGAATATTCGAAATATTGACAATAACAGCGTTCAAAGATGAATACTTCAATTCCTGATGATTGATTGGTAGGAACTTAGACGAATCGTTTTTTCTGGACAAGGAGCGATTGGGAAGAACCTCACTCAATTAGTTATATGTACAGTTTCCAACATAAGTAACATCCCAACATTGGACGGTAACCATTTAGATATATAAGGAATCAATAAAAATCACGTAGAAATGCGTGTGGATAAGTCACAAAAGATCATCCGGATAGATATATACGGGATAAATCGATATAGATCATGACAGACGTACGAGAGACAGACAGTGTGATGTGATGAAGAGAAAAAAAGAAGAGATTGATGGGAAGAAACTTCTTTGGCCTAACTGTCAGTTCTCTGTTCATTCCAATAATTTTATATCGCAAAATTTCGGCTTTCCAATACCGTCTAAATGCTAAATTTTCACCACAATTCAAAATTGCCGATGTGTAGATCGAAACGCATTATTTTCCAATGATTCTTTTTATGTTTTTGTGTTCTCGGTAGGATTCTTCAGTGGTCGGTATTTGATCTAACGGTGTTAGATCCATTTCGTTGATTTAATTAAATTTTTCCAATTTCTCGTTTTCGGTTTGCGCACTTTTGATTATGATGGTAGACACACAAAGTGACGCCAAAATATGTTAAACTTTTTATGTGATTCTTTTTGCAGGTGAATTTTGGTAGCACATTTGAATTGTGGTGAAAATTTAGCATTTAGACGGTATCGGAAAGCCGAAATTTTGCGATATAAAATTATTGGAATGAACAGAGA